TAGCAGGTTACAAGATTAACATTCAAAAATCAGTTGCATTTCTTTACACTAATGATGGATCAACAGAAAAAGAAAGTAAAGAAACAATCCCCTTTAAAATAGCACCCCAAGTAATAAAATATCTAGGAATAAATCTAACCAAGGAGGTGAAAGAATTATACACAGGAAACTATAAACCATTGATGAAGGAAATTAAAGAAGACTTTAAAAAATGGGAAGATATCCCATGCTCTTGGATTGGAAGAATCAATATTGTTAAAATGACCACACTGCCCAAGGCAATCTACAGATTTAATGCAATCCCTATCCAATTACCCAGGACATATTTCACAGAACTAGAACAAATCATACTAAAATTTATATGGAACCATCAAAGACCTAGAATTGCCAAAGCATTACTTAAGAGAAAGAAAGAAGCTGGAGGAATAAATCTCTCAGACTTCAGGCAATACTACAGAGCTACAGTCATCAAGACAGCATGGTATTGGTACAAAAACAGACATATAGACCAATGGAACCGAATAGAGAGCCCAGAAATGAACCCACAAACTTTTGGTCAACTCATCTTCAACAAAGAAGGCAAGAATATACAATGGAATAAATACAGTCTCTTCAGCAAATGGTGTTGGGAAAACTGGACAGCCCACTTTTAGTTTTCAACCTTTTTATTTCCAACATTCACTTACTATAATTTGTAATTATCTACTTACTGTATTATTTTGGATTGACTCCCCCACTGGACTAGAAACTCCACAAGGGCAGGAAGCATTTCTCCTTCCCACGCCTATCCCTAATATCGAGCCCAGTGCTTGGCATCCAGTAAGAAAAATAGTCACCAGGCTGGTAAATAAATTTGTGAATGAATAAACAATAATTCTATTTGATCCCACTTCCTCGTTTGTCAAAGGGGAATAATACCCAAGCTGTTACAAAGTTTTAATAAGAAAACACACATTAAGTTTCTAGCACTTGGCTTGACCCATAGTAAGAGCTCAATAAATACTGGTTAACTTTTTGCTCCTTTATGTTTTTCTCTTATTCTTTGCCACAAATGAGTAGAATGGAAAAATAAAAACTTTAGCCTATTTACTTCTGCTTCCTAATTTCTTCAAGAATTATAATGCCTGTGTGTGCGCGCATGTGCGTGTATGTGTGTGTGTATATATGTATGTATGTGTGTGTATATATAGTGGTTTATTTTATATACATAATGGTTTATTACCAATCAAAATTCATAAATACTTTTCTAACTCTGAAAAGAAAGCCAAAAGCAAAATACTAATACAATCACCAAAATGAATCCTCTCCTTCGGATTCGGTGCCTAGGAGAGTCCTCACTTGCACTTGGTAAATCCTGCCAGCACAGCCTCCGAGTCTGTGCTGCTGAAATAGGAGGGCCAGGTCTTGGACTCTAAATAAACTGCAGTCTCATTACTGCATACTCTGTACCACTCTTCAGAGCGCTACATGGTAAGGAGTTAAGTTTCCAGAACATTAGGCTTAGACTTTGGAGTACACCAATTTATGGAGAATACCTGCACTGTCAAACAGAAATACTGACAGAGTCGAAACTGAAGAATGCCCATCTGTAAGGGTCTCTCAAGTCCCCTTGTAAGATATGCTTTTAAGGATCCTTGGGTTCTACTAGTGTAGATTTAACAGCTTAGACCTTAGACACGCTGTTAGAATTTGATCATTACATTAGGAAAAAACTACACAGATTTTTAGCTTCCACATGCAACACAGGGCTAAGAGCACCTGCGCTGGCCTGCTCTCTTTTGGGGCATGGTCATGCTGTCTTGCAGCAAACATTACTTGATTTGTCGGTCTGTGCTCTCCACGCATACGTGCTGCTGGGGAACAGTGGTCCACTTCTCCGCCTCCATCACCATGGCTTCTGCATCCATCAGTCCAAATCCATAGAGATGGCTCACTACGGAAGGCAAGAGATTGATCAGCTTCGCTGTGGTTAACAGCAGCCTATACTCTACGTGTTGATTTATAATTTCACTCAGTAGAGAACCCAGACACATCCCTATGGGAGCCAAGCTGTCTAGCAATGACTTTAAAAAAACAAATAAAACAACTATACAATCAAAAGAAGAAAAGAAGATGAATGCATATTATTCCCTGATTATATATTATTGGTAAGACGAGTACCACTTATGAATTATTACTTCATTTGTACATTTAATCCTCCCAACAATCTTAAGTTGTTAGTGCTACTATTATTATTGTCATTCACAGATGAGAAAACTGAGGAGAGAGAGAAACTTAGCTATGACTGACAACATGTCAGTGGTTGATCAAATTCTAACCCACAAAGATTTGCTCCCTGGCCTCACTTGTTAACCACTAACCCCTTGTATTCAAGTGATAACATCACCAGTTTGGAAGATAAAATAATTAGTAGGTTTAAAGAGAAGTGACAATGTATACAGCTTCTCCTACTGCTAATAACTAACATGCAAGAAATACCAATTTCCTGACATACTTAGTATTTAGGTTGAATATTCCAGAAGATATAAATGATTACCTTTCCTCTAGTGTATGAAAAATTTATTAAACTTGATGCATCAAATATTTGGAGGCCTCTAGACTTTTATGTCAGCTTCTTATCCTTGAATGTTGTAATCTTTTAGTTCTCAATGAGAATACCTATTGATCTAAAGCTAAGTTTGACATAACTGTCTCAGAAATTGCAATTACATATAGGACCATTTTAATGATGACACAGTATGATCTACATGTGTAGCTCTTTCTAAAAATACTTTAAAATCCCAGTTGAATACTAAAACCTCCATTTTGTATTAAACTGTCTCATATCTTTACACTTAACACAAAGTCACACTTTGACCAGATTTGTTGCCTAAAACATTTCCCTTATTACATCAATTATTTTATGCAGAAATGTCTATAGCTGCCCATGCTTTGTGGATTATTTAAATACTTTAGCTTGAATTCAAGATGTTCTATGATACAGTCCAATTCTATTTTCAAACCTCACCAGAACTTTTGCATTAGCAAGCTCACTTCTTTACAGTTTCCGGTCATATCTAGCTCTACCTCACTGTGTTTACTCAGGCTGAGCCCTTGGCCTGCAATTCCCTCAGTCCTCTCTGCAGAGTCAAACTCTACTCTTATAAATTCCGGAAGGCCTAGCTAGTCTATCTTCTCCTTGAAATATTCTCTGACCAATGAAAGTCAACAGAAATTTAATGAAGGTCAACCACCTGTGCTGAGTAAACTTTTCTCCTTTCTAGTCCTGTAAGTTTCATTTGTCAATCCACCTGCCCTTCTGCTCATCCATCCAACCATTCACCCATCCATTCACCTACCCATTCATCCATCCATCCATTCACCACCCATCCACTTATCCATCCATCCATCCATCTATCCAACATTTCTTGAGTGCCTTCTATGTGCCAGGCACTGATTACCTGTGTCATCCACTGAATTGCTAGTTCTCTGTCAGCATAGGTCTTTTTACCCCAACAGTATTATAAACTGTTTGATGGCAGGAACTAGGACTTGTATTTTTTTGTACTTTTCATGAGATTTAGCAGAAGTTTGTGCGTGTGGGGGAGAGAAGAAATTATAGCATATAAAAAGGGAAAATTGTGCTGGGATTCAGAAATACTGCTCTATCTCTGCTATTTGCTAATCATATAACTCTTGGCAAACAAGATAAAACATCTAACCCGTAATTTCCTTGTTTGGGGGTATTATTATGTATCCTATCATCATTACTAAATTGATTATTACTATATGTCCCACATGAGAAAATCTGTGTGAAGACACACAAATGGAAGGGATTATTACTACATCAGGTACTCAGCCAGACAAGACATACTGAATAAAACTGAATTAAATTACTTTGCTATGGCAAGGATATATGTAGGATTTTTACACATGTACTTCTGCCACCTTTATTATGATTTTTTTCTTGATTAAAAAGTAATATATATTCACTGTAAAAACTTACAAATATATCCAGAAAAGAATAAATAAAATAAAACTTATCAGTATCCTCACCACAAATTGGTAACTGGTATTAACCATTCTATTTAGTTTTAGTTACATAACATTATGTGAGGCAATTTTACCTCCTTAATTAAAAAAGATACAGTGTAACCCACATGACAGAGGAGAAATGTCAAATTTTGGCTTAAGGGAAGCAAACTGTGGAAATCTTTTGTTAAACTTCATGGAAACCCTAGGTAATCACTTATCACTTAACCATAGCCTATATCATTTCATCATGAATACTCTAAGATCTTTTCTTTCCCTGGAGGAATTGAAATTATTGCCAAAGATGCTATGCTAAATTCTCTAACTCTGCACAGTATCCAAATATCCCTATGCTAGTGTCAAGAAGTTTTAAACCAGTAAATTCATCATTTAATTTCAGTTTAGGGAAGTAAGATGAAAGATTTGATTGATATGTGGTGGGTAGAGGGTGGAAAAAGGGTACGTGGGGGCTTAGGGAGGCAAGAGCTTTGAATAGTCTGAATAATGGTGCCTGGGCCCCTGCTCAGCTGTATGGGCTACTGTTCCCCCACCTCCCACCCCCAACCCCCAATAACTGTCAACTTAACAACCATTAGGAACGTAAGTTAACAAACACACAGAGTCGTCAAATACCACAAACACTTCATGCCTGTTAAGCACTCGACTTAAGTGGAGAAGCACCTTGAGTCTTTATGAACGTGGTCAATTTGTTTCCTTTTCCAATTCACTTCCTGCCCTCCAGAGACAGTGTCCATTGATGCAACACTCAAAAGTGTTGAGAACAGAGGCTGAGCAGCTCCAGGTCAACTACAGATGGGCAGATCAACTAAAAAAATGTCTATTAATAGGATATTAATAAGTGAGGGAATTAGACTAGATCAATGAAGGCCACTGAGTCAGTAGTGGAGATTTTCAGTATTTGAAAATACTTGAAATTGTATATCCACAATCATGACACACAGTGTAAGAAAAAAAAATGAAATAAATTTATTTCTTCTTTCTTGGAGAGGGGAGGTGCTGGCAATGTATCAACTCCATGTACTCTGATTGGCAGTTACTTGATTATTGGGAAATACTAATGAGAAACTAAAATTACAAAATGAATGTGTTGGGCACCTTCAAAACATGGGAGTCTACAGGGAAAATAGCCATTAAATAGTTTGGAAGCACTAGTAACTTATTTGAGATGTAATTGACAAGTAATACTTAAAATATAACGTTTCACACTCTAAAATTAACTATCAGTTCACAAACACTAATTTCTTTCTTTGGTGACCATTTCAGTCAAGTCTTGCTCATCACACTGTCACCCTGCCACACAGAGTATGATTTCTCTCCAGTGGATGCCGAGCACTTGGCTTTGAGAAGAGCTTCCGCACATATTTGTGAAGTGAATGAATGTAGCTGATCAGAGAAATTTCATTTAATTCAGCAAGTGGCATCAAGTATTTATAGAGAATTGTGAGGGGCAATTAGGAGGTCTGTTCTTTTTGTTACTGACACCTGTTAATCATCAATACTCTTTTTAAAATTTTCAAGGATAAAGCCAATATTCACATTTTAAAAATTTATGATTACCTATATAGCAAATATGCCATACAAACAACTCGTTGTGATGTGGGCATTCCAGAACCAAAGTTGTTTTATTTATTCATACTTCTCATGCCAAGATCAGAGCAAATCCTGAGCCTTAAAATAACTTTATGATGATCAAGTGGAACCTCTCTGTGCAAGCACTGTGTCAAATGCAAAGTTCTACAAACTCAGTATTTAGAAAGACATAGAGGAACAAACTATACACACAGAGTAATTAAAGATCTGGAAGCAAGGTTATGAAGTGTATTTCAGAAAGGAAATTCCTCTCTTGGTAGAATGATGTTGGACAAGTTTAATAAAGGAAATTTGAAAAACTTGCTTAACATTATATTTCTCCCATTAGACTGCACGATTGTTTATGCAGATAAGCTCCAAAATGTGGAACAGTCTTGCACCAGAAGTAATAGCTAGCTTTTATTCCAAGTAACCCAAAATCTTCCCTGCTTGGACTAGTCAGATGGACAAGAGAAGGGAGGAAAACAAGTAATGTTCTCTGGCAGGTATATTTTCATTTTCTGATGAGATCAGACACGGCAGGAGAAGCTGATTGTTAATACATAAGTAAATGATTGCACTGTACAAAAGCAGATACAGTTAATTGAAACCACAGTTCTAGCCATGAAGTCTAAAAAAGTCAATTCCAGAGAAAAGCTAGAAAGCTCAGTGGGAAAAAAAAAAAGTTAGAAGTTTCTGGGCACAGGAAGCTATACCCAGAGAAATCTGATGTATTTCTGTCTCTTTTAATGGACTGTCCTTACTGGAACCAGCTATTTAAAAATTTTTTTTAATCTTACACTGAATAGGTATTTTGTGTTAACTCCAAAGTGACTATTAGTAAATCACTGTGTGTGTAATAAAGGAATTGGCTGGAAAATGGTTTTTGTTTTTAAGTTTTTGAGCTTCCTGAAATAAGGCTTTCTACATACCAGCTGTCAGATGTACAATGTTATGTAGCATCCAGTGTAAAAACAGGGCAAACAACAACAAAAACTGTCCAAGGTGCCTGTAAGAGATCCAGAATTTTGCTTGTGTCTGGAAAAAATACACCTAAGTGACAGCCATCCATTACTGAGGATTTAATATAAAAGTACAGTCAATTTCTTCCATTGGGGAAACCATTTCTTATGACTGGCATGACTAAAGGTCTGGGTTTGCCCGGGTTGTCCTGGTTTTAGCACTGAAATCCTGTGTCTTGGGGAAACCCCTCATTCATGGGCCAACCAGGAGAGTGGCCACCCTACGTGGAACTGAGAGAGTACTGTGATGCTATTATGCACAGAGCACTCACATCTTCTAATACCAATCATCCAGTAACTAGAAGGTGTA